TTGAATTCAAAAAATTCAAAAAATTCAAAAAAAAAGTGAATGCATATTTTTTTTTGGAATTTTTTGAATTTTTTGAATTCAAAAAATTCAAAAAATTCAAAAAAAATGAAAGTCCCAAAAAGAAAGAAATGGAATTCAAAAAATTCAAAAAATTCAAAAAAAAATGAATACATATTTTTTTTGAATTTTTTGAATTTTTTGAATTTTTTGAATTCCATTTCTTTCTTTTTGGGACTTTCCTTTTTTTTTCAATTTTTTGATTTTTTTGAATTTTTTGAAATTCAAAAAATTCAAAAAATTCAAAATATTCAAAATATTTTTGTATTGGCTAAATTTTTTGAATATTTTGAATATTTTGAAATTCAAAAAATTCAAAATATTCAAAATATTTAAAAAATAATGAAATCACCAAAAAAGAGGTTCAGAGAGACTTTTGGGAGAAGTTCATTATATTTTGAATATTTTGATTTTTTTCAATATTTTGAAATTCAAAAAATTCAAAATATTCGAAATGTTTTTGTATTGGCTAATTTTTTTGAATATTTTGATTTTTTTGAAATTCAAAAAAAAACAAAATATTCAAAATATTCAAAAAAATAATGAAATCCCCAAAAAAGAGGTTCAGAGAGACTTTTGGGAGAAGTTCATTATATTTTGAATATTTTGATTTTTTTGAAATTCAAAAAAGAACGCAATTTTCAAAATATTTTCGTTTTTGGCTTTTTTTTTGAATATTTTGTTTGTTTTTTCGAAATTCAAAAAAACAAAAAAACATGAATGCATATTTTTTTTGATTTTTTTGAATTTTCTGAATTTAAAAACTTATAAAAAAATTGAAAACATGAATACCCCAAAAGTGAGAAGCTGGGCTCCCAATAGTAATCTATACAGTATATGGAAAAAAACTCAATACTAAACTATTTTTAAAAAAAAATCCGAATACTAAACCATGTATTTGAAAAAAAAAACTACTGCTAAACTAAGTCTGGCTCTCTTTCTGGGAATTTCATGTTGTTATTGTTTTTTTTGAATTTTCTGAATTCATTTTTTTTTTTTAAATAGGCGTTTCTTTTTAATCCATCATTTTTTCACTTTTTATCTTTTATGTTATTTTTCGGATCCTTACATTATTAATATTTTGTCGTAACACCATCAATTCTTAGATATATATTTCTTTTTTTCCTTAGTTTCTATAATATTTTTTTAATTCCATGCCTTCATCTTTTCAAATTCAAAAAAATCAAAAAATGAAAAAAAAACATGAATACCCCAAAAGTGAGAAGCTTAGCTCCCAATAGTAATCTATATATGCAAAAAACAACTCAATACTAAACTATGCAACTATGCATTTAAAAAAACAATACTAAACTATGTATTCATTTTAAAAAAACTACTGCTAAACTAAGTCTGGCTCTCTTTCTGGGAATTTCATATTTTTTTGTTTTTTTTTTGAATTCAAAAATTCAACAAATTAAAACAAAAAAATGCATACCCCAAAACGAGAAGCTGAGCTCCCAATAGTAATCTATATATGCAAAAAATCTCAATACTAAAAGATGTATTCAAAGCATACTATATAAACTATGTTTTAAAAAACATGCTAAACCATGTGTGTGTGGTTCCCTTTCTGAGAATCTTATTATATACTTTGTTGACCCCAAAAATCATCAATACTAAACTATATATCCACCCAAAAAAGCCACCAATATTAAACTATGTAGCAAAACAAGGAAACAAACTGCAGACAATGAAAGTCCTGTGTCCCAAAAGCACCCAAAAAGAACAACAGTAACGAGGAGAGAAGGGAAGAAGGCACTGGGAAAGACTAGAGGAACAAGTAATGAAAGAAAGGGAAGAGGAGAAAGGCTCTCTTCTCCGTCCCAAAATGCTGGAGACCTAGGAAGAAGCACGGTAGTGGAGAGAGGATAAGGAGACCGCTTGGAGGGAAACATGTAGTAGAGAGAGGGTAAGGGAATGTAACGGATAATAGATTTTGTCCCAAAGCACACAGAGACAAGCAAGGAGACTTATACGAAGGAAGACAAGTAGGGAGAAGCATTCTGCCCAAAGCAGCCTGAGAGAAGAATAGCAATGGGGAGCGAATGAAGGATACAACTTGGAGAGAACAAGGGAGACAAGTATACAACTTGGAGAGAACAAGGAAGACACGTACGGAAACAGACGGCAGACGAGAAGAATCAGGGGTCCCAACAAGCACCTAGAAAGAAGAAGAGCAAGAGAGAGAGAGAGAGAAAGAAACAAAGAAAGAAAGAAAGAAAAGAAAGAAAGAAAGAAAGAAGGAAAGAAAGAAGGGCACGAAATGGAGACAACAAGGACGACAAGTACGGAAACAGACAATTGGACAAGGAGCATCCGATGAGCATCCTGTGCGCCGGAAGCACCCAGGGAGAACAACAGCAACGAAGAAAGAAGAGTCAAAACAAGTTGAGAACAAGCAGAGAGACGGGCGCAGAAACAGATGGGACACAACGAGAGTCCTTTCCCCAAAGCAACCAAAACAAAGAACACTGAGCAATGGATCAACAAGGGAGACAAGCACAGAAACAGGTGGAAAACAAGGAGAACTTTGTGTCCCAAACGTACCCAGAGAAAAGAATAGCAATAGATAGAGAAGTACGGAAACAAGTTTGAGACAACAAGGGGAACGAACACGGAAACAAATGGGAGACGAAGAGACGAAGAGTATCCTGTGCCCAGAAGCATCCAAGAAGAAGAACAGCAACAGGGATGGACAAAAGGAATGGAGAGAGGAGGACTGCAACACAAATGAAGGACTCGAGAATGTTTATTGCCCCAAAGCACCTAGAGGTCCTAAAGCCTAGACACACGTGGGAGACAAGGAGAATCTTGGGTCCCAAAAGCACCTAAAGAGAACAACGGTAGTGAGGAGAGAAGTGAAGAAGGCAATGGGAAAGACTAGAGCAACAAGTAATGAAAGAAAGGAAAGAGGATAAAAGCTCTCTTCTCCGTCCCAAATGCTGGAGACCTGGAAAGAAGCACGGTAGTGGAGAGATGATAAGGAGACAAGTTGGGGACTAGTAGAAAGGCAAGTAGGGTAACATATGGTAGGGACCCAGGGTAAGGGAATGTAACGGAGTAACGGATAATGGGTATCGTATGGTTTCGTCCCAAATCACACAGACTTCCACAAAGGAAGGCAAGTAGGGAGAAACAAAGACCAGGAAATCCATTCTTCCCAAAGCAGCCTGGTAGAAGAATGGCAATGGGAAGGGAATGAAGGATACAACTTGGAGAGAACAAGGGGAACAAACACGGACACAAATGGGAGACGAGAAGAATCAGGAGTCCAGGGTCCAAAAGCACCCAGAGAGAACAACAGTAATTAATGAGGAGAGAAGCGAAGAAAGCATTGGGAAAAACTAGAGGAACAAGTAAGGAAAGAAAGGAAAGAGGAGAAAAACTCTCCTCTCCGTCCCAAAATGCTGGTGACCCGGAAAGAAGGACGGTAGTGGAGAGATGATAAGGAGATAAGTTAGAA